ACCTTTGTTCCTGGCCTGCTCTAAAATTACCCAATCTTGGCTGTTTGCTGCTAGTCTGGGCCACACTGAAGAAACAACCATCCCAGAGCCTGGGCCATGGCCAGGGCTGCCCTGTACCATATCCTGGGCTCAACAAAGTTTGAAGCTACAGTTGTTGAGAACCTCACTCCAGGAGACCCAGGTGCCCAACTAGATGTGGCCAGTCACCTCATAGATAATCAGAGACTAGAACAGCCACTGCCAGAGATGTCTGCCACACAGCACCCCAGGGGATGAAGCTGTGCTATGGCAGATGCCTCCCATCAGCCTTTGATGACCAGCTGTAAACACCAAGAGTAAACCTAAGTCAGCTTCCTGCTTTCCTCATTCCTCTGCAACAGTCTGTCCTAGCTTCTGCCTCACACAGCATCTCCTAGGTCTTTACATTGGCCCTGATGCTTAGGTCACTCCTGTCTCTGCAAATGGCCCTTTCTCTGGGACTACATGGTTGGCAGGTCTCCATTCTTTCTCCCACCCCTGGCTCGCTTTGGTTGGCTCCTGCTCTGGCCCTCTGAGCCTCAGCTAGGCTTCTCCACATACTTGAGGCTATCAGTAGACATCTTCCTCATACCTCTGACATGATTCTCATCCCAGCTTACTGTTTTGTCCTCTGCTGGAGTCGTGGCTGCTCTTGGGCCCAGTAAAGAAATGCAGTAAAATGTCCTCTTGGTCCACAGCCACCCAGACTCCTGTGGCTGCCCTATATGCTCAGAGCCACCACAGTGCTGTATGGATGAGTTGCTGCCTTCTATAAGCTGTGTGGCAATCAGACTCTGCTTGTCCCTAATCATGCTTGATCACCCTGTGCAAGGGCACTGATTGCTTCTTTGAGAGGTTGCCTCAGTCCTGGGTGGCAGGGCTGGAGCCTGTGGCAGTCTAACGAGGATAATTCAGGCAGAGCTGATTTTGCCAGAAAGTTGTGAGGGCTCAAGAGACAGAAACGGACCATGTCACACCCCAAACGGGACATTTGCTAAATCTGTTTCCCATGCAATTTTATGGTGATTACGTTGCCTTTTTTTTTTTTCTTTAAATACTGAGCAGGCTGGCATGACAGACCTGCTAGGAATGGAGGAGCACTGATTGTGGCTTATGGAATCCCATCGGAGCCCAGAAAGGAATGGATTGAGTCAGAGACAGCCAGAGTGCTTTCAGAGCCCAGGGGGCCAGTGGGGCCTAGGACCTCTGCTCCCCAGGTTGTCTCTGAGGACAGTTTCACCTCATCACTGGGAAGCTCACTCCCCAGCCTTGTGCAGTGGGTAGACAACAGCAGTATCCTCAGACATGGATCCTAGGTATTAAGATGCTCTTAGGGAGGTGGTATGCCTCCACAGTCGTTGAGAGCTGCCTCCTTCAGTGCTACTGCATCCAACTCCACACGACACTCTGCCAAGCTGGAGGGCAAGACTAGGTAGGTATGTGAGCCACATCACGGAACAGCAGACTATGAACTCTTCACCCATGAAACTGGATGAGTGTGCACATTGGCTGTCCCATACCAGGCTCCTTAGTGTAAGGCCATGGTGAAGGGAGGTACTAGGCATCTTGCCTTATAGATGGGTGTGCTCCCAGTGAGGACTGCACATCGTCTGCCACACAGACTACCACTGAGGAGGCTCCTTCTCTGTTCCGATGAGGGGGTATGCTGTTTGTTGTTTTCATTAGATAAAACTGTGATGTGACACATGGATCTTCACTAGGTTTCTAGGGACATTGTCCCTGTGTGTTCATACCAATCCCCCAGTCTGGAGGGCAGAGGCTCCAAGGTGCCTGCTGTCACCCCTGAGAATATAGGATATTAATATGCTCACCTCTTGGATTCCCACCCCACTAAAAGACTCAGAGCCACGAGCTTTAGCAAAAATGTTTAATCTCTCCTTAATGTGTGTTTATTTACAAGTACTAAATCTGAAGAACCGTAAAATAGGAAATAGCCGTATATTTACACATCTGATGGCTGAGCGTATTGGCTCTGCCGCTACCAGAGAAGCAACGGCCGAGGCCTGGTCTAACTCAGACCATCCAAATGACCAGTTTTTTTTTTGGGTGGGGAGCAGGGGGTAAGAGGGAGTGTTCTGCGGCATTAAAGGACAGCTAATCATGGGCTTCACCTTAAAAATATCTTTCTCTCTCTAAATATATCTACTCTAGCTTGTGTAGCACCGATGTGAGCCACCAGATCCAAACTGGGGGAACTGGAATAGAGGGTGGCGGTCAGGCCCCTCTGTACCAACAGAGGTTGCTGGCCTGTGCCTGGAACTCAATGCAATGTCTTTTGGGGACACATCAAGGCCCTCATCCCTGCTGCTCTGTTTAGCTGTCCAACCATAAGAATGGGGAAGCTGGAGAGCACAGGGCCAGCCCAAGGCATGTGGAGGCCAGGCACTCAGGTCCAGCTTGGAATGGCCCAGGCACTCCTGAGTCTGGGTGCAAAGGGAAAGACCAGGCAGGAAGTTAGGGCTTCTGGGGATGGGGCCCATGGCGGGACGGCAGTACCAAGAGTGTTAGGGCCAGGCTGGCTGGAGTAGTGCTTGCCCACCTCCCTGGGCCCTAGGACTGTAGAGGGTGGCTCTGAGCATCTACCATCCAGTGCGCAGTGGGCTCCAACCCCAAGCCATATTGAAGCTGGACTGAAACCTTTTGCAGGATACCACAGAGATGGATGGCTCTTGAAGACCAAGGACAAGCAGATGTCAGAGCCCAGTCCAGAAGTGGCAGGGAAGTGAGGCTTGGCCCCATGACTGTGCCGAGAAGATGCATGGTAAGAACAGCTAGGGCAGTTCACATGTAAACAGATACGCTAAAGTGATTGTGAACAAATGCCCGGGGGAAGCTGTTCCAGGTCACCTCACCACCCACCCGACACTCACATGGGCAAGGTGGCATGGTAGGACAGAGTGAGGTTGGTCTATTCTGAGGGAGCCTGGGACCTTGGGCAGGGTGGTGGTGGGGCTGGATAGTAAAGGCATTGAGCCTAGAATCTGTGCGTGGTCCAGGCTGAGCTGGAAGAACTGGGGGCTTCCATCTGAAGCCTACAACCAGGGAAGACTTTAGGGGAAACTGAGGCTCCCACCCAGGCACAGCCCGGAGGCATCAGAAGGAAGAGAGGCGTATATCCACGGGTAAAACTCCAGGCAACAACAGAGGCTTCTGAGAAACGGCTATATCCAGGCTGGGTAGCCTTGGCTCTGACCCCAGTATCAGCCCAGAGAGTGAGCCAGAGATGGGGTGGGAGTCTGACCAGAATTCATGGCCCAGGGTGCCAAGGCCCATGACTACCACAGAGTTGTTCCCTGAGTCCTTGCACCTGCCCCACAGCAAATAAAGGCGCAGCTCTACTCTGACCTCTACCCTGTCCCATCTGCACCCTAGCCTGGAGTGTGAGGGACCACAAGGCTAGTATCCCATGGATGTGGAGTGTGCTGTCCCAGCACTGAGGATAGGCCTGGCCACAGTTAGTGAACTTGAAAAGGGAATAGGCCTCTTGCTTGCTTTTCCAATGACTAATTAAAAAACAAACATTAAAAAAAAAAAGTCTAACCACCTCTAGTATTCAACACTTGCAGTTTGAAAAGATCAACTCAGACTAAACGCTAGCACAGTCATGCAGGTCCACAGCCTCTGCACCCGAAGGTCGGGGCACCAGGAATCGTGGGCAGCGGCTTTTTCTGTCTAGGGGAAGTAGAGGCCACATCAGATGGCAGCTCCAGGGCCCTCGGTTTTGCTCTCTTCTACCTGGGTTCCTCCTGAATTGCCTTTCCGTGTCTCCTCCCTCAAATAATTGTACAGCACCCCATTGGGGCCAGGGCCACACACACACACACACACACACACACACACATATATATATATATGTACAGGGTCCATTAAAAATGTACTGTTGCTCCTTAAGGGCAGAGGTGGACACAACTGACCTCTGGTCCCTTGGGTCACTGTCCATGGCCAGCAGGGTGGCAGAAATGCCCCCCACACTCCCAGGGCAGAATACCACAGGATTTCTTGTTCCTTTAAAAGCAGTACCCAGATGTCCCACTGTAGAGGGGCCAGGACACTGTTGAGATGCCAGACTGGAAGCCACCGGGAGCGTCGAGGCGGGGAGGATAGAGGATGGTGGGATGGTGGTCTGTTATCCTCCAGAGCTCTGTGGTGGGCCGCGACAGGAGCAGGAGGCAGGGAATAAATAATGGGAACATGCACTCTGACTGGAGCCCCAGGACCAAGGGCTCCCAGAGGCACAGCCCTGAGGACAGAGAAGGGTTTACCTAGCTATCGTCCGCATGTCACTTGGAAGTGGGATCTGCAGGCCCTCCATAGGAGGGGAGTGGGGCCTCTCCCCAGCAGAAGGATGTGGCATTCCAGCCTTGGCCGTGCAGAGCACGCGGTGAATCTGAGGGTGGTGGCAAGCACGGGGTGCTAGAGTAGAGGCTGGTGGGACAGCCCCAGGCTGTGACTTATGTGGCCTAGCCTTGGGTATCTCACCTCTCCCTCAGACTCTGCCTGCTGGTAGCAGCTGGAGAAGCCAAGAACTGTGAACTGGTCCAGCCTCTGGTCCTGCTGCCCTCCCTCTGGAGAGCCTGGCCTTCTATCTCGGCCCCTCAGAGGCCACCTCTCTCCCAGGAAAGCCACCAGCAGCTCTTGCCAAGCAGCAAATATCCCTGGGCAGGACCAGCCACACTGCAATTTTTGCCCCAAGGCAGCAAGCCCTAGGCACAGAGGTGGCTTAGCAGGAACCCTTACATCCACAGCGATAAAAATTGGCCCTGCATGGCAGGGAGAGGAAGGCGAGGGCCAGGTCCCAACTGCAACCCCCACACCTGGCACTCAGTACAGGTGGGCCAAGGGCCGTCTCCTGGGTCCTCTGGTGACCTCCTGCTCTGCCTCCTGCTGGGTGGGCACTTCCAGGGCTCAGCTGCTCAGGGCCATCGTGTCCACCACCTGCTCCAGTTTGCTCCGAAGCTGCTGCCTTCGTGCCTGCTCATCTTTTTCCAGAGCCACCAGAATCTGCAGGGGTGGGGTGAAGGGTGGGACAGGGTCAAAGTCAGGACTAGCTACCCACAGACATGGGCTGGAAGCTCTAAGGAAAGCTGCTGGGCCACCACATATGACATTGGTGTGCCTTGGGGATTTTGGGAGCAGTCAGGCAAGACCTGACTCTACCAGTCCTAGCTGTGAAAACAGTTCTGAACCAGGGTACTACAGTACTCTAAGGTGAGCCCCCAAGGTCATTACCTCCACCCATATCTCCTTCATCAATAGACTTTGGCTCCTGGCTATGGCCTCTCCCACTCACCCTTCTCAGGCTTCTATGAATATTCTATGGCATTGCTCCCCTGCCTTTTGATGGTCAATGTTCTCTATTGTTGCTGGGATTCTTATGCTCTTAGGTTATCTTGAGTATCACACCTCTACCTCCAGTCTATGTGGGAGCCCAGGACCCGTGTCCCATCCTATGTCCTTAATCACTACAACCTGTGAACCCTTCTGTGGCTGGTTTGATCCCAGAGCCCTTCCGAGCCCATAGCTCCAAGGTCTTGGCCCTGTCTCTGTGGCTTCCCACCTCCAGACAGGCTGCCTGGCTATCTCCTTCACTGGCACAGCACAGCCAGTAGACCATGGTCTCCCTGCCTCTAGACCTATAATAATAATAATAATATTAATAATCCATCTGGCTCAGGGACACAGCCAAGCTCAAAGCCTCCACACCTAGGTCACCCTGGCCTGTTTATCTTCTGCCTGTTCCCAGGTGGGCCCTAGCTCAGCCATGTAGACTCCTTGGCCCACCAGGTCCACTCAGTGCTTTGACACTGCCCACACACATCCAGTCCTTGGTTATTTGTACCCATAAGTTCTAGTGCAAAGTCAGAGTCAAGTCATCCCAGAGGGAAGACTCAGGAAAGCTGCTCCTTGGCAAACGACAAGGAACAACTTTTGCCTAGCCCTAGAGATAGATACCATCCAGCCCAATAAACTCTATAACAGGACCACAGCTATCCACCCCAGAAAAACAGTTACCCTGTCTCCTCGCCTGCACTGGAGACCCTTGTGTGTGTGTGCCCAGAATCTCTAATTTCCTTACTACCCCAGGAACAGCTGGGCTGTCAAGTACAGGAGCAACGCAAGTACTGGGTGAGCTCTGAGATGCAGGTAGGGCTGGGAGAGAGGCACACCTCATCCTTGTACTTGGCGATGTAGGAGTAGATCTCGTGCAGGGCACTCATGCTGTTGAACTGGCTGAGATGCAGCCGGGACTGCTCTGCCAGGTAGGCGCTCATGTCTTGGACACTGATGGCGGGCATCTTGGCAATGTCAGCATAGTACCTGACAGTAGTGGCAGGGTCAGCATGGGTGGGGTCACAGGGCCTACCCTCCCACCAGCCTGTGGCCCTGGTCTGCAGGACCCCTGCTGGCCACCCACCTCTCAACCCAGCTCTTGTAGTTGGGTATGTCCTTGGCATAGAGCAACTTGTTGGAGGGCGAGTCTTTGCCCAGCTTGTGCTCTGATGTAGAGCAGGAGTCCACGAAGGTCTGTGCTACCACCAAGAGGCAGGCATCTGTTATGCTGTTCTTGTGGATGTCGAACACAAACTGAGGGTTCTTAATCACATTCACCCAGAAGCGCAAAGGCAGGCTGTGGACAAGCAGGCCCAAGAGTGCTCAGGATGGCTGTTCTGCATCCCATCCCCTTCTGGACAGCAGCCAGAGTGGCCAACCATCCCACAGGCCTGACTCTGTCCCCCAGAGAGTGAGTGGATGTTCACATGCTCAACTGGGACAGACCCCTCACCCTACTGGCCAGACAGAACATGCTGCCAACAAGCTGGTGCCTCTCGGGTCATCATTCCTCACGTTCAGCTTGTGTCCACGGCCATCGAGGCTGGCACTGGCTTACATCCTGCTCCTGTACTCAGCTCCAGCCCAAGGACATATGCCTTCCCACCCACCCTCTATGCCCCACAAGGCCTCAGACAGCCTGGGCCAAGCACCCAATTATAACACATGCTTTTCAAACATTAACTAGCAAAAACTGGAGACTGAGGCTATTGGTGACCACAGGCATGTGCCAAAAGCCTGGTAACTCCACATGGCTGAGGCAGCTGCTCTAGAGTCAATCAAGAAGATTCTGTAGCGCAGTCCTACTCCTAGCCAGTGCTGTCCCACAGCAGTCCCTCCCTTGCTGGGACCCTGACAGGCAGCCCAGATAGACCTGGGACTTAGGCTCCTACAGCCCTGGAAGGAGACAACAGGTAAAAACTAAGAAGAATCTTGAGAAGGTGAGGGGAAGGGTACAGGGCTCTGGGTTGAGGCCAGGCTCATCCAGCACACTAGGCCAAGGGTCATGAGATTAGGAAAGCTAATGGTCAACTCGACTTGGAGGTTAAAACACAACTTCAGGGTGAAAGGAGCTAACGGGGTGTGTGGACATGAAAGGTATGCCCTGATGGGAATGTAGAGCGGGGTCTGGGGCAACCTTGCAGGAGAGGACGGTCAACTGTCCAGTCTTCAGTCCAAGTGGCCCTCCTTTAAAGTTGTGGGCCATGGGGTGGGAAAACCACACACAGGGGTAGAGCCTGGGTCAGGGTTATACACAGCAGAAGCCCACAACTGTGCATGCCAGCCAAAGTTAGAGAATGCTGAGCAGCCCCGATCAGGAGCAAGGGGCCGTGGGGCCCAGGGCTAGGTTACAGGCACCTAGGGCTGGTCCACAAGAACAGGTGGTCTATTCTGGGAGAAGGCAGGTCAGGGCTGGGCACACAGGAGTAACAGGAAGCACTGGAGTGAGCCCACTGGGGTCTGGGTGGCCTGAATTCTCACTCGCAATACACAGCTCCACATTTACTACCATGTGACCTCAGAGAGAGACCTTTTAGAGCCATCTCTATCCCCAGGTGCTAGCATTTCATAGCACTGAGCACAGGTTTGTGCTATGGATATCACTTCCTCTATGCTATCAATTGGCTCTGGCCCACCAAACTCTGTTTCTTACATGGCAGCCCCTCACCCAGGGAATTCCTATAGGCTAGAGTAGTGGGGTTGTGGCAGGATCCAGGGCTGAAAACTGGGAATGTCCAGGGTGATCCTGGCACTGTAAGGCCCGGCCCCTGGCAGTCCCACCCCTATGCTAGTCACACCAATTGCTCTTCCAGGTACGGCGCACATCTGAGTCATGGATCTGGTGCTTGTCGGCCTGCTCATCTAAGAAGTCAAACATGTACTTGATGGCCAGAGGCAGGGCTGAGCCATGGTGCGCTGTGCTGAAGATGGTCTCAAACAGGTCATCCACGAACTTTTGTAGTGTTCCCTGCAGGGCAAGTAGTGAGCTTGAGGGCTGCCCAAGGCGTCAACCTCCTGGACAGGTCTGTAGGAACTCTGGATTTGGCCATGCATTCTGGGCATCTTCCCATACACCTACCTTGGTAGCCAGCAGCCTTGTCAGGTAGATCTCAGAGACCATCTTGCTGCCACGGTCGCCTTCACGTTGGTCCAGGTGGTCGTGGTTCTTCACCAGGTGCCACAGTTTTGTTCCACTTTCCAGGTCTGGTGTGATCATGGGTGTTCGTGAGCGTAGGCTGTCGGGGCTACTGGCTGTACGCAGCATGCTCTCTGCAGGAATAGCCTGTTAGCTGGCAGGGCTGTGTCCTTCACCCACGGCCAGACCCTGCCCTACCCCAGCCAGTTTTCCTTCAGAGGGCACCAAGGCTCCTGCTAGGTATGTTGGGGATGGCCACTGTGGTCACATGAGCAGCATGAGGTCCCTTGCTTATCGGCTATGGGGACAGGCATTGCTTCAGAACCAAAGGGAAGGCCAAGAGCCACATGTCCCCCTTAGTCTTGGCATCCAACACACTGGCAGAGCAGTAGGAATGGCATCCCATCCAGGTCCACTGCCCACCCACCACCTGCTGGCAACCCTGCAGGTCCCTCACCGTATCTGCTGAGGGACTTAGTGAAGGTGGAGGAGTTGGAGATGTTGTAGGCAGACGTCTGCTTGGGTACTAGTGCCACCGATGACCCATCCGTCACCTGTGGGCAGATATTAAGGATACAAGTCCCAGGATGCCACTAAGATGTCCTGCCCAATCTGGGGGAGGGGGGTGGATCTAAAGACCTCCTGGAGGCAAGTCATGCCACCACTCTGAATCTCCACTGGAATGGTTCCAGGGCAGATAATCACTTGGGTAGGGCACAATCCACACCTGACTAGGCATGTTCTAGTTTAAGGGAAAAAAAGCCCACGCAGAGGTCCCTGGATGGTAGGGTCACCTAATAGTGAGCCAGTGTGTTCAGCCTCTTCCAGTCGTTGTCAATTTTGGTGGTGACATCCTCATCCTGAAGGATGATGCGTGCCATGCGGCCCTGGCGCCACTCTACAGGAAGTAGGGTATTAGAGGTGGGACCCCCCCTTCCTCCGTCCTTTTCTCCCTCCCTCCCTTCTATCCAAGCTCCTCATTCTACTGGCACATAGAACAAGGGAGTGGGGGAAGACAGGAAGGGAGGGAGGGGCTTGCTCTGCATTTGAGGAAGAACCTGGGATACAGCCAGAAGCTGAGGCTCCTCCACTGAATAGCTACATTCTCAGGCTCAGAGGTGGCCTCTCATCTGGTGCCTTGATGCACCCAAGAGGTAGGCCCTGCTCTACCCAGTCTCAGCTATTCCAGCCAAATCTCCTGCAGGATCCCAGAACTGTGTCCCATATCTTTTGACTTTGCCCAGTGCAAAGTTCTGTTCCTTCAGCCCTGACATCCCTGGCTTCCCAGAGACTATCAAACCCACACCCTGCCTCTTCTCCATAGGTCTCCTCCATCACTCTACTCTGGCCTATAGACCCTAGCTTACCCTGTCACCTCCCCTGAAGTCTTTGTTGAATACCTTCCTACCATCAGAACAAGGGGTCTGACCTCTGACCAGCACCACAGGGACACTTGCCCACCACTCACCCAAGTCCATGTCCCCAGCCTTAGGCCGCTGTTAGTAAGGCACACCCTTGTACACAGCATCCAGTAGCTTCTCCTTGACCTGGGTCACGGTGTCACAGTTCAGTCCTTTCACAGGAACCTCGGGCGCATTCTCATGTTCAGGGTTCACACAGTTCAGGGTCTGTGTGTGAGGAGAGTGGTATGGTAGCATCAGTCACAACCCTCACTTCCACAAGTCCTGCTCACTCAGTTCAGTTCACTGGAAGGGGAGGACCCGGGACTGGGAGCTCACCAGGGTCTTGTAGTCAATCGGCTGCCGGATGAGCTTGTCCTCGCTCAGAGAGTAGCGGGCCTCCCCTGTGATGGCGTCAATAGGGCCCTTCTCCATCTGCTGCTTGATGGCACAGTACAGCATGAAGAGCGGCTCCCCAGCACACTCCTGTGGGGGTGGGCAGGGTATGAGGCTGCGCTAGGACCTGGTCAGCCCTTTACGGGCTAGCTAGCTGTTTCCAGCAGCTCCAGCTCCTCTTGAAGGCAAGCCTGTCTCTGGAGCCAGCACAGGGCAAGGAACTGTAGTGAGTGACACCTGCAGTGTCCTTACTGCTGTAGACACAGAAATCCTAGAAATCCTGCCCTCACTGCACACCAGGTGTGATCATGAGCTGCTGGATGTCTAGAGACACACCTGGCCAGAAGTCTAGCATCACTATGAGCACACTTTCACCATGATCACCAGCACAAACACACTGACTCCTGACATTCCTCATCACCAAGGGACAAAGGAACCCACAGACTGGTGCCAAGGGGAAACAGGGACTGGCAGAGTAGCCTCTGCACACTTGGCAAGGGCCTACATTGTCCCTACCCTCAGCTACCTGTCATCTGGCTCCCTGCACTGCAGGTGTGGGGCCAGAAGTAGGGCCACATTACTTAGCAAGGTGAGTAAAGCAAATGCTGGAGCCCAGGCTGGTCCCATGGCCCTGAAGGCCCACCCCAACTGCAGGAGTCACTCCTCACAGTGGCCAGCATGGTTAAAACCATCCTCCTGGCAGCCTGTGGATGAGAATAACCTGCTTTCCCTGGCGCCTTTAGCACTATGTCATCCTGAATGGTGTCTGAATTCCTGCCATCGTGTTAATAGAAGAAATCTTTAGGTTGTCAGTCAGCCCAAATTGACTGTCATCCTCCATAAGAGTTGTCTTACTCATGGGGTCTCTTCTCTGTGCTGAATCCTTAACTAACATAGAAGTAGGTACCAGAGACTGGGTTATCATTGTGATAAGTCTATCCATGTTGTTGTTTTTGTTGGAAATTCGATTCTGGCTGTTTGGATGCTTTAAATGGAGCTTAATATGCTGAAGTATTAGCAGCAGGGCAGAGAGTGGTGCTAAGAGTGATTTTAAATGAGGGGTCTTACTTAGCACATTAGATTTCATACGAGAGGAGTATTAATGTGAAGCTTAGAAAATATCTTTTGTTATTTTGGTGAAGAATGGGGCTCCCATGTGCGCTTGTCTTCAGAGTTTTCTGGAGGGTAATTTAAATACATGTAAATTAATACCATTAATAAAGGGAGCCTCAGAGAGACCTAGATTAGACTTGTT